ATGAGGGCTAGGCGTTTCAGCTTCAGGGGTTCCCCCCTCCCCATGATTTAGGGTATAAGGGCTAGGCGTTTCAGGTTCAGGGGTTAGTTTTTTTTGGGGTTCAGGGCCCAGTTTTTTGTTACTTTAAGGACTTGGGGGGGGGGGGTTTAGGACCGAGACTGAGCCGGGAGGACTCGGGTTCAGTCTGCTAGAAAGGCTTCATGCCCAACATTTGCTACCTCTACGGACCATATATGCGCATATAAAGCCAAATAACCTCGAAAAACAAATGCAAAGAACCTCTTACGCTATCTTGGGGGTGTTCCCCTTGAGTCTGATTGGGGTCTCTGATTGGGGTCCCCGACCCTCGGCCCTCAGCTCTCAAACCCTAAACCCTCAAACCATCAAACCCTCAAGCCCTCAAACGCTCAAAACTCTCAAACCTCAAACCCTCAAAGTCTAGAACCCTCCAACCTCCAAGCCTCCAACCCTCCAACCCCTAAACCCTCCTTGTGTGGCCCAGGAGCGGCAGGTGGCAGTGCAGAAGATGATCCCGAAGATCCAGTAGAAGATGTAGTCCAGCCTGTTGGTTGCAAGGGCTTGAGGGCTTCAGGGTTTAGGGGTTATAAGGGTTTTCAGGGTTATAAGGGTTATAAGGGTTATAAGGGGTTAAGGGTTGAGGGGTTTAGGGGGTTATAAGGGTTATAAGGGGTTAAGGGTTGAGGGCTTAGGGGTTTGGGGGTCACATGTCAGGACACGTCTCGGTCTGTTCAGGGTCTAGGGTTGAGGGGGTGAGCGGTTGAGGGGTCTTAGGGATCTTAGGTAGGGGATAAGATTAGGGGGACCCTTGGTGATATAGACCCTCTGAATAAGGTCCCTGCTTAAGAGAGCCAGAAGAGGGTTAAGAAGGGTTCCCGTTCAAGGGTCCCCCTTATCCTACCTAGGATTAGGGGTTTAGGGGTCTTAAGGACTTGTTCCGCGCGCTTGCAGGGCTCACGGCCTTACAGCCTTGAGTGGGAGCGTTTTTGTGTTGAAAGCCGAACGCGTTGAACCCACACAGCGGTTTTGGGTTTAGATTTTCAGAGCCCAGAACCAGGCGAGCCGCTGCACTGAGGACCTGTGCAACCTGAATAATTCAACCCGAGCCCTAAATCCTACAACGCTCTAACCCGAAACGATAAACCCCAAGCCCTAAAACCTACTTGGGGCTGAGGTACTCAGATCTTTAACCCTGAAACCTGAACCCCAAACCACGCAATCATTCTTGGGCCAAGGGGGCATAAGCATAACCACCGCCAGAATCGCCATCGGGAGGTACAGGAAGAAGGCCAAGACGAAGCAGACCCAAAATCCTTACAGTAGCGGCTCTGGGGTTAGGGTTTACAGTTTACGGCTTGGGCTTTAAGGGGCTTTAGCGCGCTTTAAGGGGCGCTAAGGGGTGCAAGAGTCAACAATCCATACTCGGGACCAGCCATTTCTTATAGTGTAGCCCTGCAGAACCTAAACCCTAAGCATACGGGCCTGGGCAACTTCTACTCCACATAGCCACACACAACGCCAAATCCGTAAACCGAACGCCCCTTTGTCTTTGTGATTAACCTCGTAGCCCAAGTCCCAGATGGGGAGGTTCCGAAATTAGGGGTGCCTTATTGGGGTCCTGATTATAAGGGGATACGACTATTTGGGGATCTATATCGGGGGGGCCCCCTATTGTTGTAAACCGGGGATCTTGTTATCAAAAGGCACCCCTCAAAGGGAGGATAACAATTGAAAAACTGACATAAACTGACCATATAATATGCCACCTACAATTAACCCTAAACCGCAAGCCAAAAAAAGAGGCCTAAACCCTCAATCCCAAAGCTTCAACCTTAGGATTTAGGGTTTCGGGTTGGGTCGATACCAGGACGACTGCATGGATTCTGAGCGACCCCTGGGGATGGTTTCGGATTTCATTACTGTAAGGCTTGGGGAGTGGGGGATGGCTGAGGGACTCTAATCAGCGAACCCTAATCTTAAACAAAGAACCAGAAACCTGTTGAGGGCGTTCGGGTTAGGACCTCTGCCGCTTGGTTGCCCGCTGTGCGCTCGATGCTCTCAGTACCCTCCTTCAAAGAGCACCTGCCAAGGCGTAACCAACTAAGGTTTGGGGCTCGCGGTTTAGGGTCACGAGGAACTCACGATTGTTTTCATTCGAGGGCTGTACCCTAAACCCTAAACCCTCAACCCCAAACCCCAAACCCCAAACCCCAAACCCCAAACCCCAAACCCCAAACCCCAAACCCTAAACCCTAAACCCTAAACCCTAAACCCTAACCCTGGATGCCAATGAACTTTTAGCCGCGGCCGTCTGCGTTGCCCAAGCTTGCAGATATCGGGAAGATGGATACAACATTTAGGCGCCGGCCGAGGCTTCGCAGTGCTACCCTAACCCCTAAACCCTAAACCCTAAACCCTAAACCCTAAACCCTAAACCCTAAACCTAAACCCTAAACCCTAAAGCCTAATCCCTCAACCCTAAAAACTACTTGGAAAACCCTAAACCCCAAACCCTAAAGTTTTGTGAGGGCTTTGACATGCATGAGAGCGAGCCGCAGGTGCACATCACCTCAACAGACCGGGGTGCGAGACTCTGACTGAGAAAGCAAAGCCTGGACTCAACCCTCAACCTGAAGTTCCTGAACTCTAGGTTTAGGGTTTTAGGGTTTTAGGGTTTTAGGGCTTTAGGGCTTTAGGGTTTAGGGTTTTAGGGTTTTAGGGCAATTTTAGGGTTTTAGGGTTTTGGGTTTAGGTTTTAGGGTTTAGGGTCTAGGGTCTAGGGTTGGCCCCGAAGTGCTAACCCGAAGTCCTAAACCCTAATTAAAAATTACCCTGAACCCGAAATCCACCGACTCGACCACCCGAAGCATTGAAGCACGAATGTTTGGGTTTTCGGAGCTAATCCCTCCCTCTAATATTATCCCCCCTACCCCCCTAATATTAAGTACCACCCGTTCTAGTTATATTATGGTATATGCGGGGGGGGGGGGGGGGGGTATTTAATTTGAGGGGGTGGGTGGATTAGTAGGGTTTGACAGAACACCAACCGCTAGATTCCGTCCACTTCATGGTTGGGATAGTATGTAAAATCAAAATTTCTATTCTTTATTGAGCTTAAGTACCCTAAACCCTAAACCCTAAACCCCAAACCCTAAACCCTAAACCCTATGCCCGAAACGGTTTCAGTTTGGGACTCCATGCAGGTCGGGGCACGCGTAGCAGCCGACAACCATCATGGCCGGAAACCTGGGCATTTCCATGAGAACCCTAAACCCTAAACCCTAAGCCCTAAGCCCAAACCCTAAACCCCATGTACACCCTGATTCCTGCGTCTGAAAACTGAACCTTCAGAGCTGCATCTCTGGAATGAACAGCAACATCTCTTCGCAGAACACACATGGGGGAACCGAGAATAAGGGGTACCCTTTCTGGGTGTCCTTTAACAGGATTTTATAATATTTTGGGGCATACTCTGAAATCCCCATCTCCCAATCTAGACACCGTTGGCCTTATATAAACTCAAAGAAAGACCCCACCCCCCGCCCCCACCCCGCCTTCCCCCCTTGCCCCCCTGAACCTTAACACTCCCCATAGCTAGGCCTTAAACCCTCAACACCCCTAGCGAAGATCTTCTAAAACACGAAAAACAGGCTTTGTTTACAGCCAGCACTCGGCCTTAACCCCTCCCAACTCCCCCAAAAAAAGCCTAACAGAAGATCTTCTCAAACACGGCCCTGGCAGCTGCAGGAGCAGGGATGGGATAAAGAAGGCCAGCATCTTGGGCAGCATCCAAAGGATGGAGGTGACTTGGCAGCCGTAGGGGTGGCGGGCGTTTAGGTATCAGGACCCCCAAATTCCGCTTCAACAAAGCAAAAGCAGATAGCAACGTCGTGTGCCTTTCCCCCCCCACCCTCCCCCCGATGGGTTCAGAAGGTGTATACGTCGCTTGCTTTTGCTGTTCTTGGGAGGGGGGGGGGCTGGGTGGGTTTGGCTTTGCGGCGAATCTTCGGGGGTACCCTGGCGGTGGTCAGCTTAGGGTTTAAAGTTTAGGGTTTAGGCTCCAAGGCTTTGAGGTTTGCAGATTTTTTACGGCTAGGCTTCCATTTGATCTCCTCAAATTGTCGGAAACATACTGTAAACCCTAAAGCCCCAAACCCTAAACCCCAAAACGCTACATCCTAAACCCACTAGAAACCTTAAGGCTCTGATGCTGCGAAGGGGGCTGGTGTCCGAAGGCTATATCAGCGTGAAGAGTCGTTGAGGGGTTTGGCGTTGCCAAGTGCTGCCACAGGGTCCAATGACATAGCGATCGGAGCATATTGCCAAGCCAGACCGGTCCTTTCATTCAAGGGGCTGGGTGTTGTAAATTGAGGCTCAGGGTTTAGGATTTGGGGTTTAGGGCTAGGGTTCGGGGGTACCCCTTCTATGGACCTTGCCATGAGGAGCCACTGGCAATGCCAGCTAAACGGGACCTAAACTTCACAACAGCCCCTCCCCACTCCCCCACCCATTTACACTAACCCCGAAACCGCCTTTTGGGATCTGCCTGGATGGCTTTGGCATCTGGGCGTTCATAGCTTCAGGGTTCGGGCTTTCGGATCTTGCAGAAGGTTTAGGGCTTCTAGGGCTATAAGGATTAGATTTTGGAGTTTTCGGGCTTGGGACACCCTATTTGGGAGTTTACGACAATAGCGGGCCCCGAATATACACTCCCACATAGTATGGGATACCCTTATGACAAGGACCCCCATAAGGTACCGCTAATTTCGGACACACCCATCTGTCCATAACCCTAAACCCTAACACTACCTGCTAAACCCTAAAGCCTGAAAAAGGCAGCCTAGATCTGAAATGTTTAATTTTGTTGAAGAGCGAACGCTTCTTTAAGACCTCGAACGGGTATTCAAGGCTCGATCGGGTTTTCCTTTCGCCCAGAGCTTGAAGCCATGATGGGGGTTGAACAAGCTGAAAAGAGCACCTTTTCACTCTCGTTCGGCGGCACGCATAAACAGTAGCTGCACATGTGTGAGATACCTCTCGAGGGCACGTTGAATCCGAAGCCGAGGTGAAACTGACCTTGTCAAGGCACAAAATCGGCCTATAAAATCCTCGTCAACTGGGCACGCTTCCACCATCGCGTTCTCTACATATTGGCCAGCTGCCGTTTGCACCGCCATCGCGTATACCACGTGCCACAGCATGTGGATTTTTGGGAGCATCGCGAAACGTAGTTCTGCTGCAGCAAGCGACAGCCCAGCCAAGCGGCTGTAAGCGCCCAGGAAGTGCCAGCCTGCAGCGTTGATACGCTCAGCTTCGGCTGGATGGATCCACACATCGGCAGCGTAGAGCGACCGCATCCAGAAGTTCAAAGCGCGGCTGGAGGAAGCCTTAAATGTACACACATTGCAGCTTCAAACCCAACCTGCTACGTAGAGCACAAAAGAGAAACAAAGCCTCCATAAACTCGATGTAGAAACCTGAAAAGCATGCATTTTGCACGCCAAAGGTCAATGAGCCGATCCCTCTCATCCTCGCTCTCTTCCAGAGAGTGGAACTTGCAGAAGTGTTCGATAAACTGACACAAAGACGTGGTGAGAGATCCCTTGTTCCAACTGCCAGATGCATCCTGCGTCGAGCTCCCCCAGCCCATTGTATCGCGGGTCAGCTTCTGGATATAGTTTGTCTTGCGATTCTCCTATGTAGATGGCAGTTTGTGCAAAGTAAAAGGCACCCCGTGAAATCGCAAGTATAGCCAAACAGAGACTGACGAGATAAGGCAAGTATCCTTGCAGTACTCCAGATAAAAGCCTGTCAGCTCCTCAAACTTTGCATCGATAGAGTCGCCCTGGCAATATCGAAGCAAGATGACGAGTGCGCTCGCGCAGAAAGGTTTGCCAATCCCAAGGTTGATAGTGTGAAAAACATCCACTTTGTGGAACGTCTCCTTCTTGTCTGGTTCGTGCAGTAGAACCTTGGTAAAGATGGGCTCCTCGACCCAAGGAGGCTCGGCACCAAAAGTCTTGGCGTAGGCAGCATCGGCTGACCTGTAGATGCCCCTTTTTTGTGAATGCATATAGAAAGCTTTGAAAACACATGAGCGCGCCAAATCACTGTGTGTACTCAAGATTCAACAAGCTACACGTTCTCGAAGTCGAGGTTAGGTCTCCCCGCAAGGCAGAGGTGGCAAATGCCCGTGCAGGGCTTCTTGCTGTTTGCAGCCTTGGGCCCATTTTTGTAACTGCGCTCCATCCCAGCAGAGGTCGCCTCAACCGTGCAAAGGCTGGAAACCCGGTATGTGTTCAACAAACACACATCGAAACAGAGATGCTCGATGCAATCAACGGCAAATAGAGAACCCTCCTACACATGGCCAAACCTGCACATCAATCCGGAACTTATAAAACAAATTGTAGCTGGGGACCAGATACGACCAGTCTCCTTTCTGACCAATGGGAATCGGGTGCAGACGCTGCCCATTCTGAAGAGTAACCCCATCGCGGCTCGCTTTGTCCAAGGATCGAACTGCCAGCTCCAGGACTTGGTTGTAGGTGTGCTGGCTGTCGCGATAATCTTCCTGTCAGGGAGTTTGTCGTGGAAAATGGAACATCTTAAAGAGGTGGGCATACATGTATAGAGATCGTTATTATGGAGTGAGATCGGTCCTTGAGGGCCGCAATGATCAAGAACCTAGTTTCAAAAGCGTGGCCGAGAAAGTTCAAGTGGTGTGGGCCGCCCTCGAGGTCACCCATCTTGCTGCTTGAAGTTCCTTTGCCCAACGGCGATTGGAAAGATATCACTAGTGCCCCGTCTTTCTTCAGCGTCGTGCCTTCATCCCCGTGCAGATAAACCGGCACGGCCTGGTGAAGACTCACCAGGCCAGCCTTCGCCAGTTCAAACACTTGGTGGCTCGGATGTGCCTTCTCGAACCTGTCCCAATATTGTCGCAGGGACGATGAAAAATCACCTTTGCAACCAACCAGTCTGTCCAGCTGCCCGGCTTTGTCCAAGCAGCGGATCCACTCAGACACAGGAATGTACGGGAAGTCCCGTTGCCGCCCCACGTGCCCAAAAGCCAACTCGACTTTGAATCGCAGCCCATGCTTTGCAAAGGCCCGGGCCACGATGTGTTCCTCGATACGCGAATTCAGAAACACCATTCAGTTTCAAGGAACTATATTTCTAAAAAGTCGGGACGGAACCACACAGACTCCAACGAAAGCCCTATAGGCCCTAAACCGTGTTTTCACCCTGAAAATAGGCCCACTATATATAGACCCTATATATGTAAACTTAATAAAACCTATATATATATATATACATATACCCTTACGAATATATACCCTTTGACAAAAAGGCTGCTAGAGGGTCTTCTACAAAACCCCCTAAACCCTAAACCGCCAGACCGAAGCAGAGAAATCCCAAGGTCAGGGTCGAGGCTCAGATTTGGTTTCAGGTGCGCCATACAGTTCCCAAAGTACCGGGCAGATCGTGCAGTTGGCAGGATTGAAAGGCTCAGACTTTTCACGCATGTCATAATCCACCGTTGACGTGGCCTGCTTGATGATGTCCACGCACGAAGCCTGATCGAAAGCAGCAAAAGCCCATAAATCCTACGCGCGCAAAGTCTATATAGTTTAACCCTCACCCTAAAAGTAACACCCTCTCTAAACTGCATACTAACAAGACACCACGTAGAAACCTATACAGAGGCAAACCCTGGCAAACCCAATGGAACCTTTAAACTTCCCTGTCAGACCCAATTTACAATCTGTACCTCGCATTTTAGGTGACACTCCATGTAACTGTAATCCTTCGACCATACATCCTCTTCAAGTTCCAACGAAGCCCTACACCACTGCGAGCAATGCTTCAGCGGGGCTCCTTTGGCATAGCTCCACGCCAATCTCACGGCAGCATCTGAGACACCTGGCGAGCAAAGGGGTTTAGTCACAAACTGCTTGGGGCAGGAGAATAATGCAAAGTATGGGTTGGCATTTGCGAAAACGTCAAGACTGTTTTTTTGCCTTGCCATCTTCGCTGCGAAGGCACACTTGTCGTCGTCACTTGCAGATTGCACAGATAAAGCAGTATCTAGCTGAAGCACAACAGCCGTCGGTAACAGATTCTGGTTGTTGACATCGGGGTAGTTGTGGCAGCTGTTGGGATACTCAGCAAGAGGCCTTCATAGGCCTTCAGCATGCGCATACGCACGCTGAAGCACATGTAGAAACAACCCAGCCCCACGATGCAACTTTGTTGCAGCATGCTACTTCTTGGGCTGCTTGGAACCTTTCTTCGGGGCAGCTTTGGTTTTTGCCTTTGGCTTTGGAGCCTTTGCAGGCGGCTTCGAATCCTCCTCGTCGAGCTCTGGCTTTTCTTCTCGTGGCCGCTTGCCTCGTCGATCTGGAAGGACAAGCCTGAGCCACGCGTGATTTCTGTGTGGGGTCGAAGCTTTGTAGAGGCTGCGTGGAGATTGACTATGTAGATTGAAAAGATTTTCCCTTCTAGATCCGTCCTAAGGGATTACATCGGGTTTATAGGATTTGGGGCAATTTGGGGCTCAGCACCACTGTGGTTTTTGGGGCTTCGGGAGTTGTTGTCGCTTGGGGCTTTGCGTCTCGGGGGTTGGGCGCCGAGAAGCCTGATGCGGGAGTCCAGGGCAATAAGCTCAGCGCACCTTGTGGGCAGCATGGGTATAGAGGTCTTTAACAACACATATTTAGACTTACAAACAGTCCCTGTGCCCGAAAACTTTCAACAGCGTTAGACAGCAACATGTACAAAGGATCGAGGCAAGCCGCGGCTTCTTCACCATCTCTCTGGCCGAATCCAGGCTCTCTTGGAACCTTGGATGCTTCAGATGAACCGCTGTACCTCCCCACCCTCACCCCCAAGACTTTGGACTTTGGAATCAGTTCTTTTGGCACGACACTGCACCCCGGCCGGCTCCACAACGCGCTATGTAGTCCGTTAAATGGTTTGTGTATAGGGTTAAGGTTAAGGGTTCAATATGGGGTTTGTAGGCTTTTTGGTGTATAGGGTTAAGGTTAAGGGTTCAAAGTCTTTGAAGCATTGCTAGGCTTTCGGAACGATTGGTATACGAAGTAAGTAAAATATGGCCCGCCCAGGCAGGCGTGCACCGTCTCTCCGCCATCACGCTCATTGCGGCATCCTGGCTCACCTTGGCAGAAGGGGTTTAGGGTTTAGGGTTTAGGGTTCAGGGTTTAGGGTTTAGGGGTTTACCCTAAACCCTGAACCCTAAACCCTATAAACCCAAGAAACCCTACATAACCCTAAACACAAAAAACCCTATATAAACCCTAAACCCTATAAACCCTATAAACCCCATAAGGTTGTTTTGGGTTTAGGGTGGGTTTAGGGTTGACACTGTGCTACATTGTATCCCACAGGCTATTAAAGCAAGACTCCTTTGTAACGTTGTATCATGGCAGCTTCCACAAAAGACGGGCCAACATGTTCGCATGAAGCGTAAACCACCACCATGCGTTGCCACTTCTGGTGCCGGTCAGTGACATATCCGAACCGTCGATTGAAAAAACGAGTGGAGGGACAATGTGTGAACCCGAACTTGTAGACCATAGGGCCATGTCTGGTCAAGGTTTTGCTGAGCACTGCGAAGCAATGTACTAGGATTGAGCCAGGGAGGGCATCTGGTTTCGGTAAATCACATTCGATGATGGCCCCAGCGTTGTCTATCTTTGCGAAGCATTCGGCAGTTCTTTCCAGAGCAACCATGTCCCGATGTAGATAACGTAGGCGCTCAGGGAGAAGCGCACATGACACCTGGAGGTTATAGGGTTGAGAGTTTATATATAGGGTCTATGTATAGGGTTGAGTCCGGTTGAGGGTTTAGGGTGGAGGTGTGGTTCAGCCGGTTTCATATAGTGTTGGTCGGCATAAGTATTGAAACCAAGGCACTGGCTTGGGCGACGTCGACAAGGATGGCGATCCTCCGGACTGCTCCTGAAGGTTTTATAACTAAAGGGCTTCGGTTGCTTTATGGGAGTTGAAAATTGGCGGTTTTCGTTCTAGCCCTGGTACCAGACACCAAAAAACTTAAATCGAAGACCGACTTTAGCGTTTCAAGGTTTGTCCACTTGGGGTGTTTCGGGTTTTTCAGGGGTGTTCAAGCGGGGTGGAACTTCATAGGGAGCCTTAGGGAGCAGTGCGGAGTATTCGGGGACTTGGGTTTTCTGCCCCCCTTGGAGCCTCTCCCTTAAGAACCCTTTTCGGGTGTATTGAAAACACAATCTAATTCTATATAGAAACAACCCGAAGAGCCTGAAACCCTAAACCCTGAACTCTGTTTAAAACCCTATGGGGTTTGCCCTAAACCTCGAACCCTTTCTATGTATACCCTATTTATACATAATATCTTTGTATATAACCCTTTACAACCTAAAACCCTGAACCCTAAACCGAAGTCGAACCTCCACAAAGCCGAGGCTCTCTGTTGTAACGCAAGAGTTCTTTCAACCACATCTCTTCATCGTCTGTCTCGTCGTCGCGACGAGTGCCAGATATCACAGCCATTCACTTCACACTCAACCCCGGGAATTGTAAAGGAATCAAGGTTGGGGAGGAACCGGTGCAAAAGAACTGCTGATGGCTGCACACGCACCTATCTGAAACCGCACAAGTATACTGACATGTGCTAATCATTTGCGCCAAAGAAGCTTGGTAGTGACCGCATCATCCTCCCGCAAAGAGAAGTCGGCTTTGAGGGCAGACAGATCGCGATAGCAGGCTTGGAAGTTGGCGTCGAGCTTGTCCAAATCCTTGATCAACCTGGATGTTTGGATTTGGGGGTGTGTATTAGAAGGCTCCGCACAAACCTCTGAACCCTCAGCCACGTAACAAACCCTTACAAAAACGACGAGTTTATAGGGTGTATAAAGTTTGTGTATATCGTACATTTCTATATGTATACATGGGACACTATACATATATACTAAATATATACATTTTCATATATAGGGCTTGAATATTGGGGTTGACATGTGTTTATCGGGTTCATATATGGTTCCTTGTCCCGTGTCGGTACCCCCCCCCCCCCCTCCAAACCCTCAACCCAAACCCCAACCACACCACCACACCACCCAAACCACAGGGGCAGGGCGGGGACCCTAAGCCTTAAACCCTAAACCCTAAACCCTCAACCCTCAGCCCTCAGCCCTCAACCAAACCCCAACCACACCACCCCACAGAGGGGCCCGAATTTGGGGGGCTGGGCGGGGGCAGCGACGCTGCACCTTTTATAGGGTTTCTATAGGGTTTAGGGTTAGGGCTCTTGGGCGTATAGGGTTTAGGCTTGATATATAGGGTTTAGGGCATCTCAGGACAAGGGACTCAGCCTTCGGCGGCGGGAGATCTCCTTCTTCGGAATCTTTGATTGCATTCTTGTGCTTGTTGATAGTGCACATGTAGTTATGCACAGCATCCATGAACCTGATGAGCTCCGGCAGAGCCTGGAGAAGAGAAGGTTTGTTTGTGGGCTTGCAGGGTTTAGGGCTTATAAAAGGTTTTAAACACATCTATTGGATTTTTGTTAGGGGTTGTCGAAACAGAAACCATGCAGGGATGGCATTTTTACCTGGCCTTCTGGCCCACTTGTTCCGGCTTTGGGGTTTGGTTGCTTTCGTCCGTCAGCTCCAGAAGCCGTGGGCCTTCCGGCGCCGTCGCGCTCTCTGCCACCTATAAGCATCTACAGAAAAAGAATCCAACACGAGGGAAGTCGGAGAGATGCTGCGATTCATGATGCGATTTGCAGCCATGGTTCCCCCATGTCTGTTTCCTCCCTCTGGCGCACGAGTTCCGACTGTTTTATGCTCTCCTTCGTGGACACCTCCACGAAAAATTCGGGAATACTTTGGTTATACTTCCATCGCCTGGGTCACACGTTGCAGATCCTGTGTAGATCAAGTTTCAGCGATCAAACGCAAGAACTCACGAGTTAGGGATGAGGAGCCTCATGAGCACCTGTGGAAATTTCTCGCAGTACGAGATGATGGAACGGATGGTCGGCCTGTAGGCGCAAGTTCAGGGCTGGCGGTGATCATGTTCATCCATATGAATGTGCACATGACACACGCTGATGCATATGCCGGCAGACCTGCTGTACTCGCCGCTCTTGACCATCCGCTCTTCGGTGAGCCACTCGCCGTTCACTTCCTTCTCCTTGAGGTCCATGCGCTCGCGAATCACTTTTACCTGCGTTGCGAAGGTGGCCTGAACTGCCGCAAGACATTTAGTTGGTGCGTGGCCGGGCTTTGTCAGGTTATCACGCACGCATGCACTTCACACAGGCGTATATAAGGCGAGCGGCCACCATTCGCTTGTGGTGGCCCCTTGTGCCTTTCAACTCGGTGTTTCCGACTTTCTGCAAAGCCTCTAGCAAAGCCATCTCCAGCCATTCACGCCCTGGCCCTCCTTGATTGTACTGCTTGTGGGTTTCCTCGTCCACATGGCACTTTTGGCTCTTGGGCTTCTTCTCACAGAGCCGCTTGAGTCGCATACGAAGAGCATCGTGTGAGAGCTTCTGAGTTGTAGACCAGCATGAGTTACACAACTCAGAAAAGACATGTTATGTTGCACCATGTGTCTACACATACCGGGCACGCTGAGTTGCAATGGTGCCATCTGGAGACACGACAAAGACCGTGCCCGAGCCGGCTTCGTCCATGTTCTCCGCTTCACCGTCGCTGTCGTCGCCGCCGCGTTCTCTGGAGGCGGTTGGTGTGGCCGGAGAGCGGCTGGTCTGGGAGCTTTGCACTTGCTGGAGTTGTGCTTGCAAGTTTTGCACTTGGGCCTGAAGCGCAGAGATCTGGCTGGACTCAGTCTGCTGCCCGCCTGGCTTGGGGGACAGGTTGAAGTTAAGCTTGCTCTGGTGTGACCTCCTTGGCGTAGACCAAGAAGACGGCGTAGGGGCCAGTGCCAGTGCCTGGCACGCTGTGTTGACCTTCGGTGAAGGCTCGGCCTTGTCTGCGCCGTGTTCCACTACGGGCCTTGCTTTGGGAGACTCCTGGCAAGTGCCTTCCGTGGCCGGGCCTGTTTCTGCTGGGGGTTTTGCGGCGCACTTGGAAGGGCTGCTCTGCCTACTCGGGGCCGGGGTCTTAGGAGTTTCGGCGGTGAGCGTGGACATCGAAGCACTTGGCGAGAGCATGGGGCGGTCCTGTAGGAGGTGCACAGAATCAGAAACCCTTCATCCAAACCCCTGTACAAGATAAAAACGTAGAAAAAACAAGCCGTTGTATACCTCGATCTAAACATAAACAAAGCCGTATTTCAGCCCAGACCCCCACCACAGGAGGAACATCCCTGGATCACAGAGAAAACTTACATAGATATGAAGTTTTGTCGTCGAAAACCACAAAGGACACCCTTTAAAACTTACCTGCCATATATGAACTATATAATTTGTACGGTTAATATATTTCGGGTTTATACTTATTAACCCCAAAACCCTAATAAACCCTATAAACCATATATATATATATATATATCAACCCTATATATATAAGCCCTAAACCCTAAACCCTAGATAAACCCTAAACCCTAAACCCTATAACCCTAAACCCTATATCAACCCTATATAATAACCCTAAACCCTATTTATAAACCCGGCCTTTATATAAACCCTATATGTAAACCCTGTAACCTCCTCCAATCCTCAAACCCCCAAGGGTTTCTTTTCATGGAACACTTGGACAATCCTTGTCGTTTGTCACACTGGAACCACTGGAACTCGTGCGCAGCTGAGGAGATGCTGGTGGCCCCACTGGCTTGGCGAGCAAGGCCTGTATCTCCTGTGTGTCCTTTGCGTTCGTTGATGAGAATAAGTTTAAATGCACGGTGTACTTTTTGCTGAAGAGACCCTGTCTATTTCATTTAACGCTGCACAACTGAATGTAGTCTGGACTCAGCCGGCTGTGTGTCGTCGATGTCGGGCTCCTTCTTCACTGGCTCGGTCTTCACCACAAGCAGAGCAGACGAAACAGCCTGAACAGGTACGTAGGCCAGCTTTTATATTTTGCACTTATATCTATATTGTTGGGGGTTGGAAGGGTTACACGGCGCCTTGCCAGTGTGCAGAACAGCTTTGGCTTCCTGATGGGGCACGTGCTGCGCGAAGGAAAGACATCATGTGTCCATGCGCACATATTTAAGTGGCACAGTCCGTCCTGAATGGCTTGGAGAAGAGCCTCCTTTGTGAGCAATGTAGGATCCAGGGCCAGCTCCAAACCAGCCAGGTCCGCACACGCAAGGGCCCCCTTTTGGAGTTCGGCGCAACTCCACTGCTTGCTGCGAAGCGACAAAGAGGCATCCATTGCCACGATCAAGTTAGATCGAGAGCAGGAGGCACGCTTCACCCTAAAAGGCCCCCAAAACCCTGCCAGCCCCAGAAGCGAGTGCACGCACCGACACACACCGATGCTGCGCAGATGAGCTTGCCATGAACCGATCGATCCTTAAACCAGTGCGCACGCAATGTTTTCCTTGTCAGCAGCTCCTGTCTGTGTTCACGAACACAAAACATCGTGCTTTGCACGTGCGCAAGACGCTATGTAGTGTGCAAAGCTGGACCCGCCACATGTGTTTTTGATGTAAGACCCCGTAGACTTCAACATGGTATGTGAAAAGCAGACCCCAACAGCGATCAATTTCAGGGAATAACCGTCCGATCGGGTACATTACCAGAGCAAAAGCTGCCGAAGGGGACCTGGATCTACGAAGACATGACCGTGAATCGTTCCCAGGGGGCGGCGTCGCCGAACGGGTAAAAGTCATCTAAAAGACGCCTTTCCGAACGGGTACCGAACGCCATTCGAACGCCTTTCGAACGCTTTTCGAACACCTTTCGAACGCGTACGGGTCAAAGTCATCTAAAAGACGTATTCGGGGCACGGGTTCGAACGGGTTCGCACGGGTCTGAACGGGTTCGAACGGGTTCGAACGGGCGACCCTCCGAAGTCTAAAAAAAAGGCGCGCAACCACAAAAAAACTTCAAAAACGCCCTGAATGGTTGCAAACGGTTTGCCTGGAGCTTCAGAACGGGTACAGGCGAGCAGACACACCCACCTTTTGGCTCTGGACATGAAGAGAGGCCTTCACTCTACGTAAAACACACGACAAGAACCCCATCGAAAAATCAACTACATAGGGCTCCACACTATATATCTTACACTGTAACAAACCTGTATTCCTTTATACACACAACCCATTACCCAGGCACATGGTTCTTTACACATGTAAGTGACGGGGGAACGCAGCTTTCCATGCGTCTGGAAGATGCAAGTGTTTGTTGCCTCGCAAATAAACCAAGCAAGAACCCAGGGCAGCGTCACTCCAATCCCACGTTGTGCATTCCCAGCACATGTCCTTCAGGATGCTGGGACCATCGATCACCTCCTGGGGCAGTCGCGGAGTTCCTCTGGCATTGGTAAGGAGCTTCGGCATCATTGCCAAAGTTTGTTGTCCGAAAGCTCGTGGGTATATCCTTGCGTACACAGGGCTTATGTTGGGGGAAAATGGATTCCTATAGACAGAGGACTGTGTTCGCACACACAGACACACAAGGCAAGCCATGAGTCTGCGAGTTCTTCAAAGCCCGGGAACCCGTAAAAGTGCGTTTGCCGTGTCGGTTCACGGCATACGTGGCAGTCTTGTTGTGGGCAGCGACTTTCTTGAACTTGGCACGATCCATGCGCCCTCGATCATATTTCAAAGTCCACGGGTTGTTGCTGAAACCCTTGCTCCTCTTCATTGTGCCCTTGTTGTAGTGGCCCATCCACCACCCAATCTTGAACACCTGGCGCATGTGGGAGGAGGGGAAGGTGAGAAAACAGTCAACCGGACCTAGAATTTTTGCTTGCACCACCCCCCCCCCCCACCCACCACCCTCCCCCCCCCCCCCCCCAACCCCCCCCCCCCTCCCACCCCCCCGCCCCCCCCCCCCCCCCCCCTCACCCCCCCCCCCTCCCCCCCCCAACCCTCCAACCCCCCAACCCCCCAACCAAACCCAACAACCCTAACACCTTGACCCCACCCCCTCAAACTCCCACGTAGATGCTTGCAAGTCGCGGGCACCGACCGTGCCAAAAAACAATTTTGTCATGCATTCCATCAGACGTGACCCCGGCTGTTCAAGCAAAGAAGAATGTGCCGCCAAGGCGGCAGTGAGGAGACAAAGAAGAAATGAACCTAGAAGGCTAGGTGTACACCATTCATCTAGACCACGCCTCAGCGTTTTATACATAAAAACAAGCTTCAGCAAACTTGTTGCAAGAAAGGGTCCTCGCAACATGGAGTTGGCCTCCCTGATGTATGCACCGGTCACGTCGCCCGGATGGAAACGCAAGCCGTGCGCGTTGATGTGGCTCTGTTGATAAGCACCCAGGATGAGCACACCGGTGCAGCACAAGGACGTAGAACGCCAGGACAAGTTTGTCAAAGCAGCCACACAAGCGATCCTTACATGGGTTTATCGGCGAAGACATCCGGAATGCAGAATTGTGATAGAGGCAAAAGACCGAGCTGACCACATATGTTTAATGCAGCCAGAGATTCGCAAAGCCAGCATCTGTGAGGGATGTCCATACTGTTTTGAAGCATTTCTTTTCAGGAACAGGTTGTAAGTGGGTTCAATGCCAGCATCAGGGAAACTGTAAGACAGATCACCTGGTCGCTGCGTAGCGAGTTCTCACAGCTCTCCCACACGTTGGCTCGTCCAGACAAAAAGCTCGACATATTGAAGTTCCTGCTGGACGCACATTCCCGTTGCTAGATCAATCTTTGCGAAAGGAAAGGAAACGGTAACTGTGAGATGTACACACTGCAGACCCCACATGCGTGGACATGTTTGTAGAAGCAGCGTCGATTTGATGTGAGCCCAGTTTCTTCGTGTGGAACACCAGCACGACCAACGCCCACAAAGACCTCGGCTCTTGCACCGAAGCCTCTCGCGTAAAAGAGGGGCTGAGATGGGCCGAGGAGGGCTTGAAATTGCAAGGGATGCGTGCCTTGCTTGCTGTCAGGTTTGCTTTGGGTGCCCCCAGCGCCGGAGCATTTGTAGGTAAGCTCATCATGGTTCACAGCCAATTGTGGCGCCAGCAACCCCAAGAAATCGTACGTAGACTGACCCTTGCTTTTGTAGATTGTCGCAAATCAAACCAGGTTAGGCCTACATTTGG